CTGAGTGGGACCAGGCTTGTAATAGGCCCTGGGTGCGGTGTGTTGTTGTTGTTGTTAAGTGCCGTCGAGTCGGTTCCGACCCATAGCGACCCTGTACAGGATTTCCGAGGGTGTAAATCTTTACGGGAGTAGAAAGCCTCATCTTTCTCCTGCGGAGCGGCTGGTAGTTTCGAACCGCTGACCTTAAGGTTCGCAGCCCGATTCATAACCACTACGCTACCAGAGTACACATTTAATCCTGAAGGCAGAGGGGGAGCCTGGAACCGTACATATAAAATATTCAACAGTGTGTAATGGTACAAAGCCGTCTCAGGGCTCCGTTTTTTAAAGTAACTTGAGGAGATGAGAAACAGTTGCAAACAAAATCATTTGGCAAGATAGATACAAAATCATTTGGCTTGAATTCAGAAGATGGTGCTATGAGACCACCACATTTGTAAGATCCAGTCTACAAAGGAAAAAACTGGGGGGAAGAGACTTCCTGTGATTGTCCTGGAGAGAATCAGTTTCTTGTCCTGGTTTAATAACTCGTCAATAGCTCACTCAGTCTGCTTTTAATGGCTCTGCCAGTTCTGGGAAGATAGGCTGTTTGCTTAGTGGTAAATGCCATCCGGGAGGCAGCATGGCACCTGATGCTCCAGTCTCTGAATCAGAGAGTCAAGCACCAGCTGTACACTTACCATTTTATACCTGGCCCCACTCATTAAATCCATGATCTAGATCAAAGTCAAACCACAGGCTTTGCTCCACTGCTGGATTACAGCCCTACCACTTACTAACTATGGCTTTTGTCTATTACTTCTGTCAGATTCCTCATCCAGAAAAGAAGTTAGTATTACATAAAGGAGCTCTGGTAGCGTAGTGGTTACAAATGGGGCTGCGAGCCGCAAGGTCAGTAGTTCGAAACTACCAGCTGTTCCGCGGGAGAAAGATGAGGCTTTCTGCTCCTGTAAAGATTTACAGCCTCGGAAACCCTGTACAAGGTCACTGTGGGTCGGAACCGACTCGACGGCACTCAACAACAACAACAGTGAAAACTAAATGAAATGATCTGAATGAAATCAATGACTGTATCTAGCTAGTCAGGATCATAGAGTAAGTAGTAGATCTCTTGTTGATTTCTCTGAGTTGCATTTCCTAATCTAATATGCAAATATTGACAATAATTTTATAAAGTTTGGAGTCCCTGGGTTGTACAAATGGATAATGAGCTCAGTTTCTAATCTAAAGGTTAAAAGTTTGAGTCCATTGAGAGAGGTACCTGGGAAGAAAGGCCTTTGCATCTACTTCCAATAACCTTGTGGAGCACAGTTGTATTTTGATATATATGGGGTTTCCATGAGTTTAAATCAATTCGTTGGTCATTGATTTGGGTTTGGTTTCTGGTAAAGTTATTTTGGAGTGCTGGGCGGCCCTGTAGGGTAAGCATTGGATTGCTAAATACAGGTCAACAGTTTAAACTCACCAGCCACTCCTTATGAGAAAGAAGAAACTTTCTTCTATTAAAAAAAATAAATCCTGTCTTTTCTTATAAACCTTGTACAGGCTAGCTGTGAGTTGGAACTGATTTGATGGCACCTCACAACAACAACAACAAAGTTGTTTTAAATCATGGGTAAAATGTGGTTATTTAATAAATGTTTATCACATTGAGTGTGGCCTTTGGCTACACCTTGACTTATTGATGTAATTGTCCTGATTTTCAATTAATCTCGTCTTCCTTTTGGTAAGTTAGGATTCTGGATCTGCGTCTTTGAGTTTTACTAACACCACAATTTAGGAGCATTCTTTGTAGTATCTGACCTATTCCCATGAAAGGAATCTTTGGGGAAAGCGGTTTTAGTTGGATAAGTGGTTTTAGTTCCAGCTCTGGCTCTGAAAAAGGTATGGCTTTGAGCCCAATCTTGTGCCTGCCATCACTCTCAAAACTACTAGCAAAAAAATCTTTACTCTTTTAAAAAAAATTTTCTGATTTCTGTTATCAGAGCATGGTGGTGGTGGTTGTGCATGTCGTGGAGTCGCTTCCAACTCATAGTGACTCTGTACAGGGTTTCCAAGGCTATAAATCTTTTCAGGAGCAGAAAGCCTCATCTTTCTCCCCAGGAATGATGGGTAGATTCAAACTTCCGACCTTGCAGTTAGCAGCCTAGCATTGCTAGAGAATAAAAGATGGTTTGTTATTTTACGCATATTTTATAACCACCTCAAGGTGTGAAAACATAAAAGACTCCATAAGACTAAATACAAAAAAGTAAGAAGAAAATACAAAAATCTTTTATTCTGTAGTAACAATCAGCAGTTCGAAACTACCAGCTGCTCCGCGGGAGAAAGATGAGGCTTTCTGCTCCCGTACAGATTTACAGCCTCGGAAACCCTGTACAGGGTCACTGTGGGTCGGAACCGACTCGACGGCACTTAACACCAACACCACCAACAACAATCAGCTAAAAACATAAGTTTAATGTAAGGAATGGAAATTGGCAATTTTATGAAGACCCATTGGGAGTAGCTTTAACCTGGTTTTATTTCCCTTTTTTGCTTTTGTTTTTGTTTTGAATTTCTAATTTAACTTAGAGACATTGATTACCTTCTTTTTTTTTTTTTGCACAACCATTACTACTATCTTTTCCCAAATTATACACACACACACACACACACACACACACACACACCTAGTCACTACTACTAAACTTCTGTTTGCACAAAAGGGAGCTTCAAAAAGTTTGTGGAAAAGTGGAATTAAAGAAAGTGGACGTTTCCCACAAACTTTTTTAAGCCCCCTCATCTACTGCATTTTATTTATCCACTTCTCTGTTGGTGGACACTTAGGCTATTGTCAAAAGTGCTACAGTCAACATTGGTCTATTAAGTTTCTGTTCATATTCCTGATTTCAATTCTTTTGAGTATAAATGGGCTTCAAAAAATTCATGGACAAATGCAATTTAAAAGATAAAGCAATTTTTCCATGAATTTTTTGAAGCCCCATCATATGTGCCTAGGTTTGGGATTGCTGCATCACATGGTAGTTCTAACATTGTTTTTTAAATGTGTATTTTATTAGCTTTTTAAAATATTTTATTGTTTTATGGAGAAAAGTAAAGCTGGCTTCTCCCACAGCACCGGAAGCCCTATCAGGGTCCGTATGAATTGGAATCAACTCACTGGGAATGGGTTTGGTTTTATGTGAATGTTTACATAGCAAATTAGCTTTCTGATTCATAGTTCGTACACAAATTGCTCCATAACATTGCTTATAATTTCTTCACTGTCATCACAATCCCCATATCCTCCCTGAGTTCTCTGGTCCTGTTTGTTTGATTTCTCTTTCCCTGCCTAGCTTCCCATCTTTGTTTTGGGGCAAATGTTGTCCTTTTGTTCTCACATAAACCAAATCGTAGTTGATTATTCTAAGGAGCACATTTCTTCGCATATGTTATTGTATATTTATGGTGGTGGATGTGCCGTGGAGTCGGTTCTGACTCAGAGCAACCCTGCATAGGTTTTCCGAGGCTGTAAATCTTTACGGGAGCAGAAAGTCTCATCTTTCTGCTGGTAGTCTCGAACTGCGATCTTGAGGTTAGCAGCCCAACTCGTAATCACTACACTACCAGAGCTCCTTAATGTATATTTATAGTTCCATCTATTATTTGGCTGAAGGTGGCCTCCGGGAGTATCTTAATTTTCAAGTTTAAAGGTTGTCTTGGGGGTTCTTCTAGTTATTAAGAAGAATTTCAGTCTAAATTTTGTACTCATTCTGACTGGGACCCTGGCCAGAATGGTCCGAAGTAGTGGTAGTCTCAAAGCAGAGGAAGGAGGCTGTGATTCATCTGGGCTATTAGTCCTTTGGTCTAAATGCTTCCTTGAGTTTTCATTTTTCTTTAGTATCCTTTGCTCCAGGTGGGAAGTGATTAGTAGTTGCTTTGTAGATGGCCACTCACAAGCTTTTAAGACCCCAAACATTGCTCAGTGGAGTGGAATGTAGACCATGGTCTTAATGAACTATGTTTTCCCAATTGAACTAGATGTGTGCTTCTTGGCCTTCAGGTCTAGTGGTTCTGTCCCAGTGCCTAAGTAGTTTCTTTAGCTGTGCCCTCTGTATACTTTATTACATATATGATAATACATACAGCATATATAAATAAGTTTATAGAAATATCCCTCACCATACCTATATACATACATGGTATATTCCTATGCTACCTCTTAACCTATTTTGCATCTGTATTTACCTATGTGGTGTTGTTAAGTTCCGTGGAGTCGCTTCCGACTCATAGAGACCTAGTACGGGGTTTCTGAGGCTGTAAATCTTTATGGGAGCAGAAAACCTCATCTCCATCCCATGGAATGACTGGTAGTTCCGAACTGCCGACCTTGAGGTTCGCAGCCCGATTCGTAACCACTACGCTACCATGTTATTGTTGTTGTTATGTGCCGTGGAGTTGGTTCTGACTCACAGCGACCCTATACAGGGTTTCCGAAGCTATAAATTGTCATGGGAGTAGAAAGCCTCATCTTTCTCTCGTGGAATGGCTGGTAGTTTCAAACTGCTGACCTTGTGGTTTGCAGCCCGATTGGTAACTACTATGCTACCAGAGCTCCTTACGCTACCATGTATCCCCTTGTAAATCCTTAGCTGCTTGTTAGTTGTTTAACGAGAACAATTCTATGGAGTTCCACCTAACTGTTCTGTTCGTTCACCTTTCCCAGGTGTTCTCTCACCTGGCACCAGATATGGATAGATACAAACCCTTTTTGGAAGGCTTGGTGTTTTGGGCAAAGGGAGCTCATTGTCAACTGACCAGCAGCCCCACTGGAGCTTTGACCAGTGCTGGAGGCCACGTTCAGGCTTTCCTTTTGCAGGGGGCTGTTTTCTTTCCTGGGGAACTTGTTCTCACCTTCTGGTATCATAGAAGAAAGCGAGGAGGAGACAGATTGCAAATTCACCTCAGGCCCAGGTAGTCCTCTCTACAACCTCGTACAAGAAGCCTTAACCTGAATATTAGACTTGTTCTGAGAGACCTGAGAGGCAAGAGCTGCCCGTGTGCTTTCAACTCACTAGAATAATCTTGAAGTCATGAGTTTTACTTGGGAGTAATTCCTTCAGGCATAATCACATGTTGTTTTTGTTAAGTGCCTTTGAGTCAGTTTTGACCCCATAGTTACCCTGTATAGGGTTTCTGAGGAGTGGCTGCTGGGTTTGAACCACCAACCTTGTGTGTGGTCAAAAGTGGCTCCAGTCCCTCCTTCAGATTCAGTCAACCAATCGCTGGGCCCAGTGCCTGGGAATTGGTGCATTCCAGAAGCTTCCAGTGGTTCTAATGTTCAGCCTGGAGTGGGAACTTCCCCTCAGTCAGGCATTGTTTACAAGAAACAGTTCTGTTTCTCCATCTATCAGGGAAGTCGGGCTGTGAACCTCAAGGTCAGCAGTTTGGAACTGCAAGCTGTTCCGCAGGAGAAAGATGAGGCTTTCTGCTCCTGTAAAGATTTATAGCCTCGGAAACCCTGTACAGGGTTGCTATGAGTTGGAACTGACTCCATAGCACACAGCCACCATCAGGGAAGTCAGAATAGGTGATGCTTTTATGCCTTCTTTTTAGAAAAAGAAGAGGAAAGCATTTCCTAACAGTCCACAGAAAGGAAGAAATGTTCTTTCATTGGACTTAAATCAGCATTTTCAATGGATGTCAATTGGAATCCTTATACTACACATTAGTAGCTTGCTTTTTGGCAGTTTAAATGTAAAAGCAAACTGATCCTATGATATATTGCAGGCAGATTCTCTAATCATGAATAAACACCTGAAGAAGAGGAAAATCAGCGTATGTGGGGGCCGGCTTCTGCACAATCTTGCCCTTCTTGAATCCCCACTGCATTGTAGAATTCTGAGCTCTCCGCTGACAACACACTTTCCAGTTTCTTTAGCACAGCGGCAAGTCTTTGTTTTGTATCGTACTTACAGAGCAGTTTCCTATTTTGACCTTTCATCTTTCTTCCCTCTCTGGCTAAAACATTCTTTTCATGAAGGGTGACTTGACACCTTTGGGAATTTGCCAACTTTGGTTCATGTGGTTATTTGGGCAGATACATTGCCAATGAACCTGTTGGGGTATTTTTGTATGCCCCCTTTCCTATTTCTCCAGCAAGATAAAAAAAAAAATACACTAATTGGAATTAGGCACAAGATATCTAATTAATATCCTATTTTTGCATTTTGCAGGTACAAGATTATCATGGGAATAAAATTTGTGACCCCTATGCTTGGCTAGAAGACCCGGACAGTGAACAGACAAAGGTAATTTTGTTTTCTAATTAAAGTCAGCCTTAGTAGCTAACCCCAACCCCTGTTGTTATAGGTGCTGTCAAGTCAATTCCAACTCATAGCGACCCCATGTACAATAGAATGAAATTCTGCTCAACCTTTAACCAACCTCACAATTGTTGCTATGTTTGAGCCCATTGTTGGGGCCACTGTGTCAAGCTATCTCTTGTTTTCTGACTTCTTTACTGTTGTTAAATGCTGTTGTGTAGGTTCTGACTCATAGCAACCCTGTATAGGGGTTTCTGAGGAATGGCTGGTGAGTTTGAACCGCCAGTCTTGAAGTTCAAAGCAACTTTGCAGTCCAGTGCTTATCCTACAGCGCCACACCAGGACTTCCTACTGTAGTAACCATGATGTCATTTTTCAGGACTGATCCCTCTTAATGACATGTTTAAAATATGTGAGATGATACTTTGCCATCTTCGCTTCTAAGAAGCATTCTGGTTGTACTTATTCCAATACAGATTTTGTTTGTTCTTCTGACAGTAGTCCATGATATATTCAGTTTTCCTTGCCAATATAATTCAAATGCATTAATTCTTTTTTGGTTTTCCTTGTTCAACTTTCCCATGCATGTGAGGGAATTGAAAGTACCATGACTTGGGTCAGATGCTTCTTAGTCCTCAAAATGACATTTTGTTCTTTAACACTTTTTAAAAGATACCTTTCGCAGCAGATTTGCCCAATGCAATACATAATTTGATTTCTTAACTGATGCTTCAATGGGCATTGATTGTGGATCCTAGTAAAAGGAAATCGTTCTGGAGTCCTGGACTTATTCTTACTGATGACATTGAGTGTTTCCATGGTCTCTTTCCACAGACGTTGTCAATTTAAATCATGTATATTCTATCCATGACTTGCAAGTGCTTAATGTCATTTATAAAAAGATAGTTGCATTGAGTAAGTTGTTAGCCTTGCAAAATTCTGTCATGCAATCTCGGTGGTGTTTGTATCACCAAGACCATATTGTCTAGTTATTCATCTCTCTTCTTTGTTTCCAACCTTGGCATTCTAATTCTCAGTAATTATCAGTGTTGATTACATGTTTGATCAATTTCAGACTGTACAAGTTGGTTAAAAATCTTCAATTTCTTCATCTTTGGCATTCATGGTTGATGCATAAATTTAAATAATAGTCCAAGTACCTAGATTTACTTGTAGGCATATCACTGATAGCATTGTATTCCAGGATAGATCTTAAAATAATTTCGACATGAATGTGACACCATTTCTCTTCAGTTTGTCATTCCAGATACAGTAGACTATGTAATTGTCTGATTCAGAATGGCCAGTACCAAATCCACTGCCGCTCACTAGTGCTTAGGATCTTGATCTTTATTCATTCCATTTGATTTTTGATAACTTACAGTTTTCCTAGATTCATACTTTGTACAATCCACATTCTAATTATTAATGATATTTGCAACTATATCAGCAAATGCAGGGCCTAAAAGCTGCAGTCCATCTATGTCTGGCCCTACCAAGGCAACTGCAGTTCCAACTATCACATTGTTGTTGTTAAGTGCCGTTGAGTTGATTCTGACCCACAGCAACCCTGTATAGAGTTTCCAAGAAGCAGCTGGTGAGCTTGAACCACCGATCTTGTGGTTCAAACAACTTTGCAGTCCAGTGCATTAGCTCACAGCGCCACACCAGAACTCCAGCTATCACATTGTTATTAAATGCCATTCAGTCAGTTCCGACCCATAGCGACCCTGTCTAGGAGTTTCCGAGGAGCAGCTAGTGAGTTTGAACCACTGACCTTGCAGTTCAAACGGCTTTGCAGTCTAGCGCATTAACCCACAGCGCCACACAAGACTCCATTAGCTTTCTGCTCCCGTAAAGATTCGCAGCCTCAGAAACCCTTCACAGGGTCACTATGAGTCGGAACCGACTCCACGGTACTTAACAACAACAATGACAAGTCTTAGATTACTTATTGATCTTAAAAAACAACCACAAAACAAAAACTAAATGGCAAATATAAGAACATGCACATGTTTTTTAGAAGTGAGGGGCTGGGATGAGAATTTTCTGCTCTGAAAGCATGAGGCGTTCCTGTTCTTTTGGAGATATAAAAGACCTTGAAGGCCCCACTGGTCTCATTTTATTAAGGTTTCCCCTAAGTGTTGTCTCTTGAGTGCTGGTGTGGCTCAGTAGGATCAGCACTGGACTGCTAACTGCAAGGCTGCCGTTCAAACCCACCAGGTGTTCCTGAGAAACCTATACAGGGTTGCTGTGAGTCAGAACTGACCCAATAACAAATGTTGTCTTCAGTGGATTTTTTTCTGTCCTTGGAGTGGTGGTGGGGAATAATATTTGTCAAATCTATTTCAGGGTTTTTGACTCTTACTTATACTGACTTATACTTGCATATCACTTAGTATCTAAGAGTGGGAGTCCTGGTGTGGTGCTGCAGGACCGCAAGGTCAGTTTGTTACTGCAAGTTTGGCAGTTCAAACCCACCAGCCACACCTCGGAAACCCTAGATAGAGTCGCTGTGAATTGGAAGCAACTCGACAGCTTTTAACAACTACAACAGTATCATGTAAGGAGTGCTGGTAGCACTATAGGATAAGCACTGGACTGCTGACCACAAGCTTGGTATTTCAAACCCACTGATCACTTTAAGGGAGAAAGATGAGACTTTTTGCTCCACTCAAGATTTATAGCTTCAGAAACCCTGTGCAGGGTCGCTCTAAGTCAGAACTGACATGACAGCGGGTGAGGTTTGGGAAAGAGCGTGTATATAGAGAGCTTCTAATTTGTTTGTTGTTCCAGGTGTTTATTTGAGCTTCTTTAGAATGTATTTCCCATTTAAAAGAATTAAAAAGTTAAATGCATTGTGAGTCATTTTTCAGACCACCTTCCAAAAGCGTATGCCTTAGCTCCTCCTGTAACCAGTTGTAACCTTTGTTACCACATATATGTAACCGATGTTTCTGTTGAGAACTAAATTCAGATTTCCAATTTACGATGCCAGGAAAGCATCCCAGCTAGACTGGATATGGGTGGTGGAATTTAGGCTTTGCTCTTTCCACATCCTCTCCCCTTCCAGATCAATGAAGTTGCAGATTTCACCACCTTCCAGTTCTTGGGAAAGAACTTGGCAGAGAGAGAGTAGGGTGGAGAGTTATAGTCAGGGCTTATGCTTTATGGAAGAGGAGCAAGAGAAAGCAGAGGTGGAGAAGGTTAACCTGGTCCAGTTAACCCAGGTTAACCATTTCTTCTTTTATTCCACACACTATCTTACCTGCTTTCCTTTTTACTATCCTTATCTGTTCTTGTGATTAGTTTTTCTCCTTCTCAGTATAGTGGTTACGAATTGGGCTGTTAACCTCAGGGTCAGCAGTTCGAAATTACCAGTGGTTCCGCCGGAAAAAGTTACGACTTTCTGCTCCTCTAAAGATTTACAGCCTCGGAAACCCTATGCAGGGTCACTATAAGTCGAAACCGACTCCACGGCTCATAACCACCCCCAACCAATCCACAAGGTTTTATAGCTTCTTCCCTGTCTTTTGTCCCTGGAGTCAACACACCACCATGCTGAGATTTCTCATGATGTTTACTTCTCTCAACAATCCTGTTTCCTCTCCCTTTGCCAATCCTCTTTAAAAAGTTACAGTGGTTAGTATTTGGGTTTTCGTTTTGCTTTTATGAAGCAATGAGTTAGGGGTGAATAGGTAGAGATTCCAGAGGGAGAAACAGATGGGTTTTGCTACGAGTGGACAGAGGCTCCACAGTTCTGCAGATCAGGCTGGGAAGATAGGAAGGCAGGTGTGGGCTGTCATTTCTCCTCCACTCTTGTACAGATTAACCTTGACCATCCTGTACAGGGTGAGCTGAGATAGAAGGATTGAACCTCCACTGGGGAGTGAGCCCCAGGCAGCTGCATAAGCTATAGTAGATAGGAAGCACCAGAGGAGGGAATGGAATGCCTTTGCATCTCTTGAAAAACTGTCCCCTGGGACTGTCTCAATAATGATTACTTTGTTCAAGGTATTGGGTACAAGCTGGCTTTCCTCAGCTTTATTGGCGATGATCTGAGTGATTCAACCATGTCAGAATGACCCAGTTTTGTTTATGTTTTAATGAAAGGACACTAGGTTGTTCCTTAATTGATATCAGCGAGGCTCATGGATGACAAACCACTTATTAGTGAATGCCAAGCTTCCAGTTAGTGGGTGCTTCTTTGCTAATTAGTGGTTATATAGTCAGCATTTAATAGAAGCTGATGACATTGATGTGCATACTATGATTTTCAGGGTATATATTTATTGGAGGTTCTGTACCTTGGCTTTGTCTACCCGCATTAATTCTCAGACTCTGAAATAGATCTTTTAACTTTTCATCTATTATATTTTGAGGTGAAGAAATGGAGGCATTGTGCAATTAAATAACTTGATCAAACTCATTCAGCCAGTAAGTGTGGAGCTGGGAGTAGAACCCAGGTAGTCCAAATAGTTGTCAACCTCACATCAAAAGAGATGAGACTCTGGGTGTGATAACTTTGAGGGTATAAACTATAGGGATTGATTCATGTCGAGGCTTACTGTAGAGTTCCTGGGTGAGACAGTTAACACAGTTGCCTCCTAACCAAAAGGTTAACAGCTCAAGTCCACCCATAGGCACAGAAGAAGAAGGATCGTTTGATCTACTGCTGGAAAACCAGCCATGGGAAACACTGTGTGACATAATTTACTCGGACATACGTGGAGTAACCATGAGTTGAAATTTACTCCAGAACAACTGGTAACTGGTATTGGTGCTTGCTGTATGACATTGGAAGTCCTTGAGTCTGGTCTTTGGGCTGACCCACGCTCCCACCACAAGACACCCCAGTTGTCAGAGGCACTGTGCACCTTATAAGCATCTCTCTGTAACCTCCTTTCTCGTTTTAAGCAAACTTGTTATTGATGGGGGCCGCTATATTATCTGTGGTTTATGTATAAATAGATAGATTTAGTCAC